TTCTGTGTGGTGGCTTTGTCCAAATGCCTGCAGATCCTTGACTGTCTACTCATAGTTACGAGGGAGACTGGGAGCTGGCAGGTGGTATGGTAGTTAAGGTGCTGAACTCACACATGGCCAACATTGGTTTGAGTCCTGGACCTGTTGCCTTGCCTTCTCCCTCTCTCTCTCTGTCTCTCCCTGGTAAAATTGAAGAATAATAATAAATAAATAAAATTAAATAAAATAATTATTTTTTAAAAAAAGAGAGTCTGGGACTAGCAGATGGTGTGATGATTATGTTGCTAGATTCCCATATAGTCAACCATAGTTCGAGTCCCAGACTTGGTGGCTTAATACTCACTCTGGGCACATGTGCATGCATGCCCAAAATCCTGAGAGGAAAATGGAGGAGAAGGGATTGTGGTATGGCCATTTCCCCCTGTGGTGCTTTCTCACTTCGTTTTGTGACAAGTGCACACACCCTATATCAAAAATCTCTCCCTAAAAAAAAGAGAGAGAGAGAGTGAGAGAGAGGCACTACAGAGCTGACTGGCTGTTTTGTAAGCAAAAATAACAATTCTCAACTAACTTATGACCTTCATTGTGAGAAATATGGCAAAAATCAAGCTGTTACATTGAGGTGGAGAGGTTGTTATTCTACACAACTTTGTTTTAGGATCACCAGTTTATCAGGAAAGGAATGCTCAGCTATTCTACTTTCAAAGCAAAGATGGTAAAGTGTAGGCAGAAGGATGGACGGGTTTAACTCTGGTAGGCAGCACTCAGAGAAGGGTGGAGAAAGGAAGTAGAGGCCTCACGATTTAACAAGAAATCTTCCCTTCCTTGGTCTTTCTGGCATTCTATGCTACAGAGCATAGTGTGTTTGTCAAACTTCAGCTCACATTAAAATTACCTGGAATGGCCCAGACTGGTAGCACAATCTGTAGCATATAGGATTGCAGTGCAGAAAACCACATGCTGACAATGTGTTCAGATCCCCAAGTTGGCCTGAAAACATGCCAGGTGCACACACAGGTACCCAAGATCCTAAGGAGCTGGAGGGCTAGAGAAAGAATCTCCCCCTCTCTCATTTACACACATATATATGTACACGTGCTCTTTATCATAATAAAATAAAGTAAAATAAAATAAAAGTTACCCAAGGGCCTGTTAAAATGCAGATTGTTGGGTCCCACTCTCAAGAGTTCCAACTCACCTGAGGAAGTGATGCAAGACCTGAAATATTTTCCTAGTCTCCATCACTCAACCCCAATGGGCAATTGAAAGTGACTGATGGGGGAACCAGCAGGTGGCGTGGCTGGACACTCCCACGTGGCTGACCAGGGTTTGAGTCCTGGACCTGGTGGCTTGGATTCTCACTTTCTCTCTCTCTCTCTCTCTCTCTCTCTCTCTCTGTGTGTGTGTGTGTGTGTGTGTCTGGTCAAATTAAAATAAATGAATCAATAAATAATTTTTTTAAAAAAAAGAAAGTGACTGATGGGTATGACACGAGATATTCCAAAAAATCATCCTTCCACCAACCATAGTGAATAAATTTCCAGAGTTAAAGAATCATTTCCCTTAGTTAACATTCTCTCCTTTTAAAATAGAATATACATGGGATGAAACTCCCTGAGGAATGAGACCTATGCCTCGCTATTTGAATCTAGCCAGGCTGATGATTATTTAGACCAATGGATTAGGTGGAAATAGGACTGGGGGGATTTCCACCACTGAGCTATAAGAAAAGTCATGTGGCTTCTGTTAAGTTCTCCAGAAGCATTCACTCTTTGAGGACCCTTTTGGGATGTGCTCTCTTGGAATTTAGTTGCCCTCTTCTGAAAAGCCCAAGCCACATAGGGAGGCTTCAGTTAACAGATGAGATGCTGCTTTGCCCAGTCTTCAGGGTGTCCTAAGTAAAGCCTCAGACATTGTGGAGCAGAAAAAAGTCATCCTGTCCCGCCCTGCCTGGATCATACTCTCTGTTTCATAGACACTCAAAACAGCAGTAACTGGAGCTATAGGTTTACCTGGACATATGTTTAGATGTGCCTCATGCCTCCTCCTTAAGGACTGTGAGTTCCTTGAGATCAGATACATGCTGCTTTCTGCATTTTCACACATCTAGGGCCTAAAACAGTGCCTGATATATAATAGGAGCTCAATTATTTCACAATACTCATTTATAAATGGGTCAGTCTAAGCAGAATCTCAATTACTGTCCTTCGAAGTCCAGATTACATTTCTTATTTATTTATTATGATAGAGAGTGTGATCGTACACATGCTTGAGAATGAGAAACACCCTCAACTGGGTCTTAGTCATACTGTGATCCCTTTTTCCCAGCCCTCCAAATCCTCAGGATCCTGGGTGCCCCTGCATGCAACCAGTGCATTTTTAAGCCAACCCGGGGACTGGAACCCACAATTGGCCATATGGATTTCAGCCTTGCAGGGCATTTGTATTACCACCGTGACACAGTGGCTGGGCCTTTATTTACTTTCTTTAAATTTTATTTATTTATTCCATGAATGGGAGAAAAAGAAAGGTAGAGAGACAAAGAGATGGGCACCCTCAATGAATCTGCATACTATGATCCATCTATAGCTTCAGCCAGCCCCAGATCAAGGATGTACATGTGCCTGACATATTCAGAGAGGTCTCTGGCTGCAAACCCGGGACCTTTCCAAGTGGATCAGCCTCACAAAGCATCGTGTTACCATTGTCCCACAGATTGCATTCTACGTCCTTTTAGAAGAACAAATATTGCGTGGCACAAGGCTCATAAAGTTACGTCTGTGGACTTAGATATGGTATACTTGAATGTGAAGCCCCAGCTCTGCTTCCTTCTGGCTGTGTGACTTTTTTCTTCCATTTTCTTCTTTTTTTTCTTTTATAATTTTTTCTTTGAGAGGTTTTTGCTATAGAGTGCATGCGCTCGTCAGGAAGACAGAGAGAGACAGAGAGACAGAAAGCGAGAAATCACCCCCCAGGGGTGATGGCCATGCCACAATCCCTTCTCCTCCATTCTCCTCTCGGGATCTTGGGTACACACGCACATGCGCCTGGCATGAGTTTAAACTGCCGGGTCCAGGACTCGAACCTTAGTCAGCTTCATGAGAGTTCAGCGACATAGCCATTATGCCAACTGCTGGTCCCATCTTTTATAATTTCTTATTCACATTTAATTGTTGTGCATCTTTGTGGGGTACAATATGATTTTTCAAATCATGTCTGAAGTGTGCAATAATCAAATCAAGGCTATTACCATATTTATTATCTTCAACAAAGAACATTACATTAATTTATGCACCTTTGATTTTCATTAATTTATATATATATATAGATAGATAGATAGATAGATATAGATATAGATATATATATATATATAGTACAACCCTTTTTTTTTTGGAGAGGTTTTTTTTACTATAGGGCGTGTGCGCTCGCCAGACAGACAGAGAGAGACAGAGAGACAGAAAGCAAGAAATCACATCCAGGGGGGATGGTCACGCCGCAATCCCTTCTCCTCCATTCTCCTCTTGGGATCTTGGGCACGCACGCACACGCGCCCAGCGTGAGTTTTTAAGTCACCGGGTCTGGGACATGAACCGCGGTCGACTATGTGGGAGTCCAGCGACATAGCCATTACGCTAACTGCTGATTCCCCAACCCTTTTTTGTATTCTGTTGTGGTTTATTGTTTCAAAACTTGTTTGCCTTGTTTGTATGCATTCTTGTATTTGTTAAACATTTTTTTCCAAACCAGCTTCCCCCACTCCCTCATCCCCCATGCAGTGTCTGGTATCTACAGTTGCCCTCTCTACCTCTATGTCTTCAAATCTTTCTATTTCTGCCATAGAGTGCAGACATTCCATATCTGTCAAGTAGGAATGCACAATGTTTGTCTTTCATAGTTTACCTTATTTCACTTAGCATTTAATCTTCTAGATTCATCCACTTTGTATTGAATAACAGTATCTCACTGTCCTTTATGACTGAGTAGTATTTCATTATGCTATATGTGCCACACTTTCTTAATCCAGTCATCGTCTCTTGGACACTTAGGCTGATTCTATGTCTTAGCTATTATGAATAATGCTGCAATAAACATAGATGTGAAAGTATCTCTCCAACAGAGTGATTTCATGTCCTTTGGGTAAATACCTAAAAGAGGGATTACTGAGTCAAATAGTATTTCTATTTGTAAATTTTTAAGATCTTCTCTCTTGTTTTCCACACTGGTTATACTAGTTTACATTCCTACCAACAGTGCACGAGGGTTTTCATTTCTCTACAATCTCACCAACATTTCTTGTTACTTGGTTTTGTTGTTGCTGTTGTTTGCTTGTTTGCTTCTTTTAATCATAGCTATTCTGACCGAGGTTAGGTGATGCCTCATGGTTTTGATCTGCACTTCCCTTATGAAAAGAGATGTTGAACATTTTTTCATATGATTTTTGGCCATTCATTTGTCTTTCCTTGAGAGCTGTCTATTTAGATCGATTGCCTGTTTTAAAACTAGGTTATAGTTTTTGTTGCAGGTGAACTGCTTGAATTTCCTATATATTTAGTTATCAATGTGAAGTGTAGTTTACAAATTTTCTCACCCCATTGTGTGAGCTGTCTATTTATTGTTTCCTTTTCTGAGCAAAAGCTTTCTGACTTGATATAATCCCACCTACCTATTTCTGGAGTTGTTGACCATATTTTAGGAGTCTTATTTAAGAAATCTTTGCCTACTTCCATGTCTTCAAGTGTTTCCCCTGCATTTTCCACAAGTAGTTTCATAGCTCAGGGTTTTACACTTTAATTTTTAATCCATTTTTAGTTGATTTTCATTAATGATCAGAGATGGGGGTCTAGTTTTATTTTTCTGTAGGTGGATATTCAGTTTTCTCAGCACCATTTGTTAAAAAGACTTTCTTTTCTCCACTATATTATCTTCTTCCCTTGTCACAAATACTCTCGCTATATGTTTTGGGTTTATTTCTAGATTTTTCTATTCCATTCCCTTGGTCTAAAAATATGGAACACTTCATGAATTTGCATGTCATCCTAGTACAGTGGCCATGTTAATCTTTGTATCATTCATTCCAATTTTAGAATTTATGTTGCCAAAGAAGCTCTTGCTGTGTAATGTTTGTTTTTCTGTGTCTCAGTTTCTTCATCTGTAAAATGGAAATAATCATACCTACCTTGTAGAGTTGTTAGGAGGATGACATACATCTACATGTAATGTGTTGAAGACACCATTTAACATTTAATTAGTACTCGACTGCTAGCTACATCGTTGTCATTGTTGTTACAAAGCAATTCCTCCAGGAACCAGCTTGCAAGTGCCCCCTTCTCATAAAAGCAGCCCCCAAAAGATGCTCCTGGCTCAGTGCCAGCTGTTGCCGCCCCTTTACTGTTTTATTTGTTGGCCTTAGTGACTAAGGGACTTTTTGAATTTGCTATTCACCACGCATCTGCATGTATACTGTAGTGGCATTGGGACTTATAAAACTGTCATTTTTAACACAATGAATCTTGGGTGCCCGAGAACCACCTGGGGAACTTGTTTAAAATGTAGATTCTACAGCCCTACTGTAGCCAGTCTGGAGTAGGGCCCAGAATGTGTTCTTTTAATAAGCCTCCCCAGGGCGCTCCAACGCAGGGGTCTTGGAAGCTCTGTTTTAGCAGATGGTCTCCTTCAAATAAGTGCCACCCAAACCTTGACGGAATCAGTGATTATTGAAATATTATAAATGGATTTTCCCAAAAATTCTTCAGCACAGCTTATCCAAAAAATCAGAAACTACAGAAGAAGCATATATTTAAACAGTATATTAGTTTCTATTTCAAGAAATATGCTCGCTATATATTTCTTTAACTAAAAAATCATCTAAGGTAAAATACCCCTAAATTTAAGGCAATGGGGTCAATAGTTCATTTGAAAAAGGTTAAATATAATATGTTAAATAGGTAACAATAACTATATTATAGAAGGACTCAAATGTCTGGAAATGGGGGAAATGTATTTAAAAAGAAATATTTATAAATGTATCTATAAGTTTATAAATAAAAGAGAAATAGCCACTATGGTAGCACAAAAATGCAGTGCCCTATAAGGCCTGAAGTCATATGACTAACCACAGGTCCAGATCCCTGGGTCATTCCCAAAACACGTCATACACATGTGCCAGCATCAAGTAGCAAGTAGCATTGGAATTTTTGTTATTATTACAATGAAGCAACTAGCAGTCCTTGAGTGTTTATTAAATGCTAAATAATGTCCTAAAGCATATTGGGTGTCTAATTCTCCCAACAACTCTAAAAGGTAGGTACAATTACTGCCTCTGTTTTACAGATGAAGAAACCAAGATACAAAAAGGCAATTAAACATCACACAGCCAGAAAGAAAAGCTGGGGCACATACATACACACATATCCCAGCCTGGTCTTCCCATATGGTGCTAGCACAGTGTTATGGCAGTGCATGCCACCACGGCTGTGCCTCATGCTTTGGTTCTTGATCAGGGTGTTGATTATATGGGTATGCTTCATTTGATAAAATTGAACTATACAGGGGCTGGCAGGTGGCGTGGTGGTTAAGGCACTGGACCCTCACATGTCTGACTTGCAGTTTGAATCCCGGACCTGGCAGCTTGATTTCACACTTTCCCTTTCTCTCTCTCTCTCTCTCTCGCTGGTTAAATTAAAAGAATAATAAAATAATGATAATAATAATAATAATAACAGCAACTAAAAGGTAGCATGGCAGATAAGGTGCTGGATTCTCACATGGCCTACTGCAGTTTGAGTCCTGGAACTGGCAGCTTGCTTTCTCACTTTCTCTCTCTCTGTGTCTCTCTCTGGTCAAATTTTAAAAAATAATAATTTTTAAAAAAGAATAGTAATAATAAAATTAATTTTAAAAAATTGAATTATATTATTAACTTATATACTTTTCTGTTTGCATATTATACTTCAAGAAAATATTTGAAACTTTAAAATTACCTTTTCTTTCTCACCTGCTGCATCCTCACTTCCACGTTGGGAGGTTGAGGGTCTTGATATCGTGCTGCTGAGTCAGAAGGTGAACAAATTCCAGAAAGCCTCTCTTGTCCTTGTCATCATATTCACCTGTCACTGTAGCCCTCTGCTCAGGTGCATAGGCTGGGAGTGGCCAACACAGAAGTGAGAGGACTTGGTGTCCCATGGCCTATCTGCTGGAACCAGGACAATTCCACTAGTCTTGACCTCCCAAGACTATAAACAGAGTACAGCTCCAAATTGGGCAGAGAGCTGTGGGATTCTTTTTTCTCTTTTAATCTAGACTGTTTATCCCTAAATCAACAATCTTGTAGCAATGACAGAGTCAGGCTGTGGCTCGAGGGTGGGATCCACTGGTGTGGCCTTTTGGCATTCACCACCCAAGCACATCTCACTAGGGACTGCACATCATCTCTGTCAAGGGCCTCTGCTCATCACAGCAGCTAATATGCTTTTCCCACAGATGATCCCATTGTATTCATCTCAACATCTGGGTAATATTCTGGATTGCATGCAAATATGAATTGGGGTGTTTATTTTACTAGTGGAGTACACCTGCAGCCTAAATAGTGTGTGCTGAGCAGCTGTTGATGACTATAAATAGAGACCTGGGTGAGGATCTGTAAACCCTGGAGGTTCATCCTTAGCAAGAAATATTCAAAACTTTCAAATTCAATAAATCTGGACACTATTGAGAGAAGAGAGACATCATTACAGACAGATAATGGTTTGAAATCTCAGCCAGTGATGATTGGGGAAGCAGATGTAAACTAGGATGATTTTTATATGTTCCGATAGCTCCTGCCGGGTGGGAGATTAAATAAGCGAAAGGTCTGATTGGTAACTACATTTGGGCCACTGAGCAATTGCAAAGAGGTAGAAGCAATCATACTGCCTGCACTTGCCAGAAGGAAAGGAATGAGGTTAAATTGCTAAAGGCAATCTGTTCTGTCACATATTTTTATGTACTCGGACATTCTAAAATCCAGTTATGTAATTCACCTAAGGTGCTGCCCATCTAAGACAGTTATTGCTCCCCTGCCCAGTGTACTCAGTTATTCAGCAACTAACTCTGACCTAATAAATAAATAAAATAAAATAAAATAAAATAAAATAAAATAAAATAAAATAAAATAAAATAAAAATTTAAAGAATATGTGAAGTACTGGGAATAGAATGATAAAAGTTATGACCCCTGCCCTCAAGGAGTCCACCAACAAGTTGGCCTGGTTATTGACAAAATGTTAAGTCTCAATAGAAAAACAAGCAGGGCTACTGTCTTAGTTCAGGCAGTGCTATAGCAAATAACATAGCCTGAGAGGCTTACATAACAGTCATATATTTCTCATAGTTCTGAGGCTGAGAAGTTTAAGAGGAAGATGTCAACAGATTTGGTTCTTGGCGCAGTCTCTTTTCCTGGCTTGTAAATGCAGCCTTCTTCCTGTGTCCTCATATGGCCTTTCCTTCGTGCATGCTCACAGACTTCTATTTCTCTTCCTTTTCTTATAAAGACACTAATCCCATTATGAGGGCCCCATCCTCATGATCTCATCTAACCCTAATTACCTCCTAAAGGCCCCACCTCCAAATATCACATTGGGAGTTAGGGTTTCAATATATGAATTTTGGTGAGACCAAAACATTCAGTCTACAACAGTGACCAATTGTATTCGTTTTCTAGGACTGCTATAACAAATGCCACCGACTAGGTGACTTAAACTATGTAAGTTTACCTTCTCCCAATTCTAGAGCCTGGAAGTTCAAATCAATGTGTTGGCAGGGTTGGTTTCTTCTAAGCCTCTTTCTTTGGCTTGTAGATCACCTCCTTCTCACTGTGTCTTCACATCATTGCCCCTTAGTTTGTGTGTTGTCTATTTCCTCTTCTCCTCTTCTTCTTTTCCTCTCTTCTCCTTCTTCTGATTATTGAGGGAGAGAGATTGAAAGACGAGTAACTTCAACAGGATCTTGTACTGTGAACCCCTTCTTCCCACCATTAGCTTTTCAGTCTACCAGAATCAAGGGCAGGCATACATGTAGAGGTTGATCCTGAAACTGAATGTGATCTCCCACATGGTTTCCAGCACTGTTGTGCTACCATTGTGCCACTATGGATAGGTCCTAATTTCCTCTCTTTATATGATATCAGTCATATTGGATTAGGTCTCACGCTAATGACCTCATTTTATTTACATTATAACTTATTTACCTCATTTTAACTTATTTAACTTATCTTAACTCTTTAAAGGTGTTATCTCCAAACGTTTTTGAGATATTGTAAGTTAGGACATCAACATATAAAATTTAAGGGGAGACACCATTCAGATCATAACACCAATAATCCTGGTTGCCTGTTACTGAGGGAATTCCTGGGGTGTGAGACTTTTAGTGCTAAACAAAGAAAGACTCAGAAAAACCAGGACAAATTGGTCATCCTAAGGACAACATTCATTTTGCTCACAAATCTGTAACATGAGCAGGGCTTAAAGAAGACAGCTTATACCTACTCTACTCAGCATCAGCTAGGACAGCTCAAAGGCTGGAACTGGAATCACTCAAGGCTCGCTCATACACATAACTGGCAGTTGATACTAGGAATATTCCAACAATAGGGACTGGGACAACTGGAGCTCTTCAGGTATCTCTCTCTATCTCTATGTGGTCTCTCTGTGTGACCTCTCTAGTATGGTGACCTCCAAGCAGCCAAGCTTTTTACACAATGGCTCTTGGATACCAAGGTAGATGTCCCAAGGGAGTAAGAGCCTGGCAGAAGCTGTATTGCCTTTTATGACCTAGCTGCAGAGAGACACAAAGCATCACTTCTCCTACATTCTATGTATCAGGGAAGTCATAACAGTCTTCCCAGGTTTAAGGGGAGTAGAAATAGATTCCATCACCTAATAGGTAATTGACAAGAACACCTGGGCCTAGAAATATTGTTGTAGCCATTTAAAAAAAAATTTAATTGTGGTAAAATATACAAAACATCGTAACCATTTTTAATTGTCCAATTTGGTAAGATTAAGTATATTCATATTATTGTGCAAATGATCTCTAGAACTCTTCCATCTTGCAAAACTGAAACTCTAGGGA